CAAGACAGTTTTGACTTTTTTAAAGCGACAATCCGTTCCAAAGAATCCGAAGGTATTTTCTGTAGTGACTTAAACCTTTACAGTGCGTTTACTGAAACCAAGGACACCCAGACAATGAAAACCAAATCAGATGGCAGAACTGAAACAATAGATTCCAACATTTTCAAATCCAGCCAATCAAATGTCCCATTTTGAATTCCAGCCAATCAAATGTTTGGTACAAGACAATGAAATCTCAACTTGATCGTTGTGATTCTTACGCATACGGTGTCGCTTTAGGCCCTTTGTAGCTAAGCCATCACGTGATCTACTTTTCATAAAATTATGGGCTATAACTTAACGAATGCCAGAAATGGAAAAAGCATGTCGAAAATATCTAAATGGCCAAGCTTGAGGCCCCCATCATCAGAGAATGGGATTTAATGACGGTCTGAATTTTTGAAACAATAAGAAGACTTGTATGGAAAGAGTTGTTGGAGAGCAAGACCTTGCTCTCCAACAACAATTTCCATCGATACGAATCCTCTAAATTTTCCGAAAATTCAAACTGTGGTATAAACTTACTCGTTCATTCCTGGGGCCTCAAACTTGGCCATTTTGGTATTTTCGATGCGCTCTTTCCATTTCTGGCATTCTTTAAGTTATAGCCCATAATACAAAATTTTTTTAGGAAAAACTTGGTCACGTGACCCCAGCTGCAAAGGGCCTATTGCCAAGCTCAAACCGTTAATAGTTTCGCGTGCTTGTGGGTTCAAGAAGAATTACATGCTACACTTTCTATGGGGTGGTTGGTTGGCTTGGAAAATACATGGAAGTAAAAGCTGCGTAAGAGTGTAACCCATAAATTTATATCGCCAACAAAGTGTGTTGTGTGAATATTGTCGCGGCTGTTTTAAAAGAAACCCTTCAAATGGTCTCTGAGCAGTTTCAAATGAACGCAAGTTCGAAATGTACGAATGGGAAAGCGATTATTTTCGATGTAGCTGAAAAGAGTTGAAAGCAAACTTCAAGCAGGAGAGTTGAAAAGTTAACTTGGTACAAAAATGAATTATTTTCATGAAGATGTTATTTCAATACACTGATAACCCAGAAAGGGAGCTCAAACTCCGAAATGTGGAGCTCCTGAGACAGTGAACGCGATGGGTTTTTTTCGAGAACTACGCGGTGGACAACCGAAAGGTGTGTAAAAATAGAAACACGCGCAGACAGCAGGAGCGGAATTTAGTTCGTAAAAATGTCAAAATCTAGTATTCTACGATTTTAAACAACAACCGTAAAAAAGATATTTTGTGTGGCCGTACGTTCACAGCCGGAAAAC